AAAGAAGTACACTTCCTTAAAATACTTTCTTGTACCGCATAACTTAGACCACTCATTTTAAACAATCTTAAGGTTATTCACTTTGCTACCATTTTTAACCTTACCAAGTTTTGGCAAAGTTATAAAAAATAGCTTTAGTTTGTTGCCAAATTTTAGTAACTACATATGAAATCTTGTCAAAATTTAGTAACATTGCCAAAATTTTAGCAGTATTACCAAAATTTGGCAATGCCAAAACTTGGTAAGGTTGAAAATGGTAGCAAAGTGAATAAGCCCTTATTTACTTTAATTTCTAATATATTTGATGGAATAGTACAATTAAGTTAAATAATCCATGGCAATAATCTAAATCAAACCGAAAAAAAAAGAGAGAGTCGAGAATAACCCATTCTCAAAATGCTCACAAGCACTACTGCCACTACAACTCTAAACAAGCCTGCAAATCTAAAAGGAAATAAAGAAATGGTGGTTTGGAGTAACATGAAAGGCAACGAACACAGACTTTAGCTAAACATAATCAAACAACAAGTAGGCGGCGAGTGTGCAATCATACGGATCACGAGATCCGAGCAAAGTTAAAGACTTCTCACATGACAGGGGGCACTTGTGGGCCCCACACTGCCAGATTAGAACTGGCAAATTTAGGTTACGCATTTAATTCCTCCCTGTCCCTGCACACACACACACACATCAAACCCACAACACACATCGGCCACAGAGAGAACTCTGAAGATTACTGTGATGAGCTAGGCAGTGGAGTACCCCGGTCAACAACTGAACGGTTCAGTCATTCAGAGTTTCAGACAGTACTACTACTCCGGTCCTCTGCTGCAATGCAACTGCAACATCCTGCATTGCTTGTCTCAGTACTGTGCAGGAAAAAAAAAACTGCAAAGGCTGCACTAATCCTGAACCCGCCCGATCACACCAAATATTTTTGCAGTTCTTGTCCTTCTGCTTTCGTCTACTGTTACCTCTTAAATATTTTTGAACTGTTAGGAGTATAAATACTTCCATGGTTAATTTTTGAATTGCTTGAATTCTACTCATGCTGTACCTGATTGGGTAAAAATGCTCGAATTCTAGCATATTTGAATCAGTATACTAAATATTTATAGGGATCCCATATTTATATAGGAGGCAATATCTCTGAAGTTCTCGACTCTATGAGAATTTTTGTAAAAACATTTCATTGCTTCTCTTCTAGTAGGGATTTTTTATTTTTTATTTCAAAATACGTTCTAACTTTTAGCTGCCTAGTTTTTCTTCTGATGATCAATTCAACCTCCGATAAAAAAAGATACACCTCAGAAAAAACAACTTGAAAAAGTTCCCATGGATGCGTGTAAGCTGCAACAAGGTGAGCAGGGAATCAGTTTGGATCTTCCACTACTCATGACAAATGTTTACTGCTATGGACAGGTGAGCTATGTAAAAAATGGATGCGGACAATTTTGAGAGAACGGCATGGAATTGGAAGACAGCCCAGGGGCATGGATGGACAGTGAAGAGAAGAGAGCTTTTTAGCATTCGTGGTGATCCGGAGAACTCGATGATGGCGACGCGTCACGTCCGACACTTAACAACGCTAGCTAGCATCTATACATCGGCCAATGATGATCACTTAACAAAACTGGCCGTCTAGATCGATCATTGCCCTGTTCTTGGAGCAACTCATCGTCTCGGTTTCAGTGCTTTGTCGTGTCATCTTCTTTTCTATTCTGATTATTGGTCCTGTCCTTAAATAAAAGGGATAGATAATTTTCACCCATTTGTTGAGAACAACTGAAGAAGAAAGGTACTCCATCCGTGTGTAAATATAAGGGCTCTCCCGTCTCTAACATCGAACTTTAACCACCAATTATTTTAAGGTATATTGTCATCGGTAGTGAGACCTACTTCCCAGTTCCAAAAGGATTCACTTTTAGACACAAATCTATAGATATATTTGTCAAAATTCGTGTATAAAAACGATGAAGTTTTCCCGAGACGGTGGTAGCACTATATCATATGAAAATGAATGTACATCTTAATTGGAATTCAACCACACTATTTTATATCACAAAATATATTTTACTAATTGATTGCTAGTTGTCAAAATGTAGTTTAAATACTAAAATGCGTGCCTTGTACTCCCTTTGTCCCATAATATAATATAATAACCTAGATATATCCTATCTGGATATGTATTAGAATGTGTCCCATTCGGTACGAGGTTATTATATTTTGAACGGATGGAGTATTTTCCAAGGGAGGGAGTAACGTGGTGTGCAAAAAGTTTAGATAAATGGTACAATGTGTCTATAGTTATGGGCCTATATCTACTAAATCCAAAGTTAGTATTTGTCTTGGAGGCCTATTTCATCTGATTTCAATCAGGCACTGGCCGAATGGGCTTCTCGGCTTCATATAGCCCATGAAAAGGCCCTTATTTCGATCCAATCTGGGTGCAACTTGCAAGAGACAAAAAGGGACGGGCTACAGATAGAAAAGACTGGTATGTGGACCACACTTCTACTAGCGGCCCAATTGGCTGCAAACCATATGAGCACTGCCAGTGTGCCACTGAGCACTGAGCAACCAAAGCGAAAAGAACCGCAAGAGAAAAGAAAAAAAAAAGCTCTCAAATCAAAGCAGCACTTGCGCTTTGATTAGCCAAGCGTCCAGATCTGGTAGGAATGTTTTGGGTTTCGCTAGATTTGAATCGTGACCTATATTATGCTAGGTTTGAAATTACGACGTTTTTAGGCCGTGAGTTTGATGTAGTACGACTCTTCTTCGACCGCAGGATAGTGTGGACTGTGGAGTACTGCACCTGCCAAGTCCCAACATGTGTTTGATACTCCATCCGTTTCGAAATGTTTGGCATCATTGGTTTTTTAGCACATGTTTGACCGTTCGTCTTATTCAAAAACTTTTGTGAAATATGTAAAATTATATACCTACATAAAAATATATTTAACAATGAATCAAATGATAGGAAAAGAATTAATAATTACTTAGATTTTTTGAATAAGACAAACGGTCAAATATGTTTAAAAAAGTCAACGGCGTCAAACATTTCAACGGATGTAATACCTGGAAAGGTGAGTTCAGTTGTAACTTTCAGGGCATCAACCAAAAAAGACCAGAGGTAGTTCTGTATTAAAGTAGTGCGATACAAATCTAAAGAGGTTTCTTATTTGATTTTTTTAAAAAAGGCTTTGGATGGATCATGGAAACCAGATCTATCATACACCCACTGCCCTAAAACAAGTCCATATTGAAATTATGCATAAAAGTTACTCAGACATATACTCCCTTTGTCAAAAAAAAAAAGAATTTAAAACTGGTTATGATATATGGACAGAGGTATGTCTAGATTCGTAATAGTGTCACATCCAGTACTAGTTTAGTTTTTTATGGGACAAAGGGAATACTCGTCTATTATAAGATCCTTTTATATTGGAAGAATATTTTTTTTGTTTCTGTGTTTTGATGGCTCGAATTAGGGTTTACTAAAACTGACGAAATCCACCCGTTTTTTTTAATGAAATTTTAGAGTTTTCGACCACGCTCAAGTTGACAAACGCTTGTTAGGCCAACCAAATTGCAAAAAAGCGGAAATTTCAAACCGATTTCCATTGTTTACTACTTTATTTCTAAATTGTATTGAGCGCTTTCTATGTGGGAGCTGCTATGGTATGATATTATCTTCACTGCGATAGTAATATCATTTTTTTTTGCGCGTTAGATCGGATTATTGGCCGGATACACAGTTGATTAATGGCACAATCAAATTCCTCCTGATCGGATCAATAGATTCATCAAACGCGTAAAACATTAACTCGTGCTGGATAACTAGAGTGTGAGAGATTATCTGGCATAGATAAAGACCATTTTACCCTCCCCCAACCCCACCCCTTTAATTTTATAATACAGTCAATTTTACGTAATTAGACTATTTATACTGACCGGATATACTATAAGTATATTTTGCCGTAAAAAGTTATTAAAAAAAAAGAAGATTACCCCTGGCAGCGTGGCTACGCTGGGGCACACGGCTACTCCATCCGTCCAAAAAAAAGAAGATAAATCCTGGTTTCCGTGCCCAACGTTTGAATGTTCGTCTTATTTGAAAAAAATATGAATTTTTTTTAAAAAGTCACGCATAAAATATTAATCATGTTTTATCATCTAACAACAATGAAAATACGAATTATAAAAAAAATTACTATAAGATCAACGGTTAAAGTTGGACAAGGAAAACCAGTCTTTGACTTTTTTTTTACGGGGGAGTACACGTCATAGTAGTCCGGTGTGATGTGAACGGGACATCCCGGTCGGAGTTAAGGGCATCTTTAGTTCCAAACAAATTTTTTTCGCTGTCACATTCAATATTGGGAGATATTTATGAAGTATTAAATATAAAAAAAAGTAATTATACAGTTTATCAGAAAACTGTGAGACGAATCTTTTAAACCTAATTGCGCCATGATTTGATAATGTGGTACTATAATAACATTTGCTAATGACCGATTAATTATGCTTAATAAATTCATCTTACAGTTTTCTAGCGGAATCTATAATTTATTTTGTTATTAGATTATGTTTAATACTTTAAATATAATATGCGTCCGTATATCCGATGTGGTACGGAGGGACAAAATTTTTTGTTTTTGTGTTGTGCGTCCGTATATCCGACGTGGTGCGGAGGGACAAATTTTTTTTGTTTTTGTGTTGCCCTAAACCGACGCGGACAGCCACAGTCCAGTCACACACCACACCACACCACACCACAGGTGAGAGTGGAGTCGAGAGTGACGCCCTCCACGCCAGCCTTCCCGCCCCCCAACGACGCGCACGTGGGCCCCGCTCCCCTACCGCGTTATACTGTGAAGTGTATGTTCTTGCCCCCCCCCCTTGCCCGTACGATGCCCCAACGGACGGTCGCGATCCAACGGTGTCTGCACCCCCCACCCCTGCAACCCATGTGCCTCTCGCCACCCCCACGGCTTCTTTAAGCCCGCCGCGTCGAGGCGAGTGAGAGAGAGAGCTTCCCCCCGCCACGCCGGCCACCTCACCACTCTCGTTTCGTTTCAGGCGGCGAGAGCGGGAGAGCAAGCGAATTCTCTCAGCTCGATTTGTGTTTTTTTTTTGAGGGGGAGGAGGTGAGTGCAACGGCGATGGTGATGACGAGGAGGAGGGCGGCGCTGCTGGTGGTGGCGATGTGCGCGTGCGCGGCGCTGCCGTCGACCACGACGGCGAACAAGTTCTCCATCAACTGGAAGCCCAACACCAACTACTCCGACTGGCCCGCCCAGCACGGCCCCTTCTACAAGGGCGACTGGCTCGGTACTCTCCCCTCTCCCCCTCCTCCTCCTCCTGCTTCACCCGCCTCTCGTGTGCCCAGATCTGGCAGATGAAACGCTTGATTTCTCATTTGGTTTGATTTTGATTCTTCTCATCTCTGATTTGGGATGTGGGCAGTGTTCTACTACACGGCGGGGCAGGCGGACGTGATCCAGGTGGACGCGGCGGGGTACAATACGTGCGACGCCACCAACGCCATCTCCAACTACAGCAAGGGCCGCACCTACGCCTTCGAGCTCAACGAGACCAAGACCTACTACTTCATCTGCAGCTACGGCTACTGCTTCGGCGGCATGCGCCTCCAAATCAAGACCGAGAAGCTCCCGCCACCGTCCCCGCCGGCCGCCGCCAAGGACAAGTCCGCCGCCGCATTCACCGCCTCGCGCGCCTCGCTCTTCTACGCCGCCGCCGCCGCCGTGCTCGCCGCGATTCTCAGGATGTTTTAGCTGCTAGTAGTAGTAGCGTTGTCTGCTGTCTTCGTCTGATTTGGAGGTCCTCCCCTGATTTTTTTAGTGTGTTTGGAACCCTGGAAATTTTAGTAGAACCTCGATTATTAGTGTGGATTTGCGTAAGCCGTAAGCTGTCAATTGAGCAAAGATCAGTCAATCATTCTACCAAGGTGAAGAAATTCAGAGCTACTCTGCAGGTCCAGAGACGGAGTAGTTTTGACTCTGCATCTTGAATCTAGATAACAGCATTTTTTAATCCACCATTTGTCTCTCCTTTTCCACTTTACTACCAGTAGTATCTTCGAAATGCCGCATTGATAATGGTTTAGTATTAACAGTGCTACTCCCTCTCTTCTACAGTACAAGGGATTTTAAATTTTTTGCTTGTAACGTTTGATCACTCGTCTTATTCAAATTATTTTTACAAATATAAAAAACGAAAAGTTGTGCTTAAAGTACCAATGATAAAAAAGTAAGTCACAAATAAAATAAATAATAATTAAAATTTTTTTAAATAAGACAAATGGTTAAACGTTGCAAATAAAACTCAAAATCCGAGACGGAGGAAGCAGTAGTTTCTGGGAAGACGTTCTAGACGGTTCGTTGGAGCGTAACGATTTTGCTTGGCTTGTCCGTAACTACAGTCTACAGCCTCTCCGTGTTTTGTGCACCGAACAAGTGCGCGAAAAACGCTACTGTGGCCGCAATACTGGCAACCGCAGAGTTATCCGATGCAGTGCTTGGCTTGGGCCACTGGCTGTTCACTTGTTCAGTGATACTACTCCTAGTGAGAAGGCTGTTTCAGAAGCTGCAACAGACCAACATAATCTGATGGTTTATTAGGAGCCAAACTTATTCAGCACTACGCTAGCGTTTTCTTTTCTCACCTAATAATACATGCACTAATCATCGTGGATAAATGCGGAGTACTTGCTTGCTCGAGCAGCTGCTGCTCGTCTTCAATGAGAGAGCTACCCACAGGCAGCAGCATGGTCAGGATCCAGACGAGCCAGTGTGCTCAGTGGGCAGATTGTGGTCGAATCACATGCATCTGCGTTGGACATCACGTGCCCTTGTTTGAATGCAGCTTGCACGTATTTTTTTTTTTTTGGATAGTGCATTTCCGCTTCATCCCTGGACCAGGGCGGTTATGATCTCTCAAACAAGGAGAAGGAAACAGCAGGAAGATACACCAGAACAGGAGACCATGCATGTATAGCTAGCTTATGCATTGCAGCTTCTCATTTATAGGTTGTGTAAGCGTATCAAATGCTCGCCCACCCAGCCAACCTGAATGGAATGAGCCATACTCCCTCCGTATCATTAAAAAAAAGTCACATACTAGGTTGTTTTTTTTAATAAAGGGAGTAGACACCAAAATTTGTTCTAAATATGGCCTTGTTTAGTTCCCAACTTTTTTTTCAAACTTCCAACTTTTCCATCACATCAAAACTTTCCTACGCACACAAATTTTCAACTTTTCCGTCACATCGTTCCAATTTCAATTAAACTTCTAATTTTAACGTGAACTAAATACACCCTATGGTTAGCAAGCACGAAATCAAAAGGAAAACAGGTATAGCGTGTAGATGCAGCAGACCAAACAGCCGCATTTTCTTGGGAATGCAGGGAAAAAGATAGGAGCTGGATATTGCAAAGGGGCACATCGAATTGCCGATCATAAGTAGTTTTAGCTATAATCATGCAAGCGATAATGAAAGATAGTACTACTACTGATCATGTGACATCAATGAAGGCACATCCGGTTTGCACGGCTCCCTGCAGTGGCCGCCGATATCGCTGCGCGATTTGCGTTCCTCCAGCGTGGACGGTGCACCAGGTATCATTACTGTCAGCGACACAATGCCTTTGTTTTAGCTGAGTGGAGCACAAATCATTGAATGAATGGCCGGCACATTACAGGCGTATGATGCGGATTAACTGGAAACAGTTTTTCAACATAGTACTACTCGTCTAAAGTCTTACTATCAAGAAGTTATCAGCAGATCGAGAAAAGGCTGGGTACTTTCCTGCCTATCTTTTTCTAGGTTAGCCAGAATTACCCACGTCTAATGGGAGTAATGGCCCGTATGAAGTAGCACGAACTTTAGCTGGGCTAACATGTAAGTAGCACGAACTTTAGCTGGGCTTCTTATTTTGTCCAAAACTATGATGATTGTTGAGCTTGGGTGGAGAACTTGATAAAATAGCTAAGGAAACGCAAGAGCAAACTGACATGACAGTTACTACAATAATTCTTGGCTAGTATGAATTATGGTCCAGTTGATCAAATCTGATTCTAGATCAGAATGGTTCATACTTAAAAAAGACAGGATTCAACCAAAAAAAATTAGTACAGGTTTTCGATACCAAAATTTGTTCCCCTTCGTTAACCTTTGTGCAGCATAACATTTTCAGCCTTCAAGCATTGCCTTGGCTGCATCAATTAGTGCAGGTCTAAAGCTATCAGATGCTCGACCAAGTACGGTATAGCCTTCCTTGTCCTCAATGGCAACATCAGCACCATGTCTAACTAGCAGAAGAGCAACCTACAGAATGATTGCCATACAAGAATAAGTTATAATCTACATCCACATACTTCAGGAAACCAGAGGCAATCAACCAGGTCCTTAATATTGTGCAATAAAACAAACTACTGGAGAGTCAGGTGTATTACTTGACATTTGGAAGCAACCGTGTTTCTAATAAATATTCAATAGGTTCTAAGTCAGTGGAAAATGCTAGAAACATTGACAGGAACTATTAAATGAAATATAAATGTTCCCAGCAAAAAGAAAGAAATATAAATGTACACCTAAGGGGTATTCATGCAGAACATCATATATAATATAAGAATGGAGCCATCACAAAAATTATGCATATCAACACATTGGGGCAAGGGAGGCAATGAAGATTACCGCTTTGTCCTCAGAAATAACAGCATGCATTAGTGGTGTTTGTCCTGTTTTGTCAACTGCATCAACATCAGCCCCCTCCTCAATTAGGAATTCACACAGTTCAGCATTTCCTGTACTGGCAGCTCTATGTAAGGGTGTGCACCCAAACTGAAAAGAGAGTAATTCAGTGTTTACATGTCTGAAAAATTCAATTACAGTACAGTGAAAATGTAAGAAGTGGTAGACATATACAGAAACACTAGCTAGGAGTGTACATGAGCTGACCCGTCAACCCACTTGTCTTTTTTTTGCTTGTTAGCATGTCAATCCGCTTAAAATAAGCTATATGCGGATTAGCGGATCAGCTCACTAAACAGACATAATATGATGAAATATTTTAAAAATACGTAGATGTTTACAAAACATATTCTTCGATATAGAAGAATCCATATTACATTATTATACAGGCAGTTTACAGCATAGTCAGTTTTCTTGGCAAACTTGATGTTGATTAGTTCATACTAGCACACCCCTAACTAAATAATATTTCCTTATTTCTATTGTTTGTGTTTTGATCAATGAAACCATGCTATTATTCAGGAAAATGAGACTTGGTAATATAACAAGAATATTCTCCTAGATTGTTAGTACTGAGTAGTTTAAGATACCTTATCTTTCTTGTTGACATTTGCACTGTGCGCTATTAGTGTTTCTGCTATATTAAGCCGTCCTTTACTGGCAGCATAATGAAGAGCAGTCCGGCCAGCATCGGTTGTCAAATCAACATTAGCACCTGACATTGCAAATTTATCATTACACCAGTCAGCAAGAACATACAAATAATAAATATAAGACTATTTAAATGTTAAACAGAAGAAAAGCAAAGATGCCACTGTAATGCTTGCTACTAAAGACATATCTACTACATGGCAACTGAGGCAATTTCACAAAGAACAATAATATTCAAAAATAGAAATGTCAAAATTCCTCTATAAAACAATCCTTCTCTAGTTATGCATGTCAGCTCTAAATATTCTTGCAGTATATGCACACTAGCGCGGCATTAGTAACCTGCTTTGGTATCCATGGCAAGTTTTGACCCTGAGCAAATTAAGCACCGCCCAATCAATGAACTCTAGTCTCTCCCCAACACAAACATTGATTAGAATTTAGTACTTTAAGCTTATAGTGAAAAATATTGTCATTGAACAATAGTGTTCATTATGGCGGACAGATGCACACCGTTCCAACACAGCCAATTAGACACCCTGATTATTGGCTTTTATCAACTGCAAAGGATGTTCAGCAGGACCAAAGGAATTACAGAATTCATGAACCCCTATTTCGCCTAGCAATAGTAGTACATCTAATATATCTGAGATCAGCTAGATCATCGTTGAGAAGGAACATTTTTCAGTGAGCAATAACAAATTCTCCAGTCTCAGAGAGCATGCTGCTCGCAATTAAGCCCAACTAGGCTACTACTGCACTTAACACAAACCACTCTCATGTGAAAATATCAAGCTGTCCTATATAATTCCCCAAAAATCATTTAATGTCCCTAACAAACAGTAGAACTTGCAGTACAGATAGCACATCTTACACAAAAAGCAAAGGGTAATATCCCCATACCTTGATCGAGCAGGATGGAGATGATCTCAGCTTTTCCGCTGCTCGCCGCCGTGTGGATCGGCGCCCACCCCTCCTCGTCCTTCCCGTTCACAACGCTGGCCGCCGCGTCGCCGCCCATCGCGGCAAGCACTCTCACCACCTAAACCAGCACATGGGGTTGATGCCGTCAAAACCCTAAACCCAGAGGGGCCGAGAAGAATCGAGTCCTGGAGGATCCCATGGAAGCAACGGGGCACTTGCCTGGGCGTGGCCGGAGGCGGCGGCGACGTGGAGGAGGGACCGGCCGTCCTCATCGCGGAGGGCGAGCGCGGCGGCGAGGTCGGCGGGGGAGAGGGAGGAGAAGGCCGCGGCGTCCCCGGACTCCGCCGCGCTGAAGAGCTCCTTCTCCGAATGTCTCCCACCGCCCGCGGCGGCGCTGGCGGCGGCGCCGTCGATGTCCATTGTAGCAGACATCGTGCTTAGGCAAAAGCGAAGGCGCAGAAGAGAAATACGCTTCGAGCCTCAGGTTTGCGTTTCTCTCCGGACTCTGCTCATCTCGTGCGCGTCTCAAATGAGCCATATACGGCTCTAAAGCCACGTATCAGGATCAGAATCAGATACGGCAATGGATACGGATAAGTATCGGACGTATCCCGCACATCCGCGATTTCCAAATCTTTTATGTCTATTGAAGATATTTTTATTGCTATTTTGATAGTCATTCGTATATAAGTCGTTTTTTAAATTCATTAGCTTTTGAAAATACAGATCCGTATTTGAGTTGGATTTTAATTTTGTTTGCTTCTGAGAATACAGAAGGAGTCGTATAAAAAATCCCATCAAGAAAACTTGCATGCTAATATGAGATGATTTTATAGACTCATAGTGAATGCCGTATAAGAAATTTCTTTAAGAAAACTCGCATGCTAAGGGCCTGTTTGGTACAGCTCCAACTCATAAATTTAACTCCAGGAGTTGAGTCTGGAGTGGAGTTGTGGAGCTGCCTAAACCCAGCTCCACAACTCTAGTTCATTTTGTGAGAGAGCTCCACCCAGCTCCACTCCCAGTTTTGGTGGAGCCGAAATTGTTTGGCTGAGCTCCAGCTCCAGAAGGGGTGAAGCTGGAGCTGGAGCTGTGCCAAACAGGCCCTAATATGAGATAGTTGGACTCCTAATTGTAACTCATGATTTTCTAGACTTATAATGAATTTCACCTAAACTAGACCATATAATAATAATAAAATGAATTTCACCTTAACTAGACCATATAATATTAATACAATTAAAATAGCTTTCATCCGTTGTAACGCACGGGTATTTTTTTCTAGTAAAAAAATTAAATCTGAATACAAGCGTCGATACGCTCGCCTCCACCCTTCATCCGCTGCCTCATGCGCGCCTCTCGCCGCTAGTGATGTCGCGGCCACACACGACCGACCACCCCAAAAGATAGCCATTGAGGTGAGGGACTCTTACACTTATATCTTAGGTCATTTGCCCTTCCACAACTAATGTGGGACTATTCAACACCAGCACCATCGAAGCACGGAGCACTTTTTCTTTGCCCCCTAACTTCCTGTGGTAGATCCAACCTTTCAAGGGTTCGCTTGATCTGTATGTCTTTCTCATTTCCTGAAAATTCTGATCTAGCATGTGTCCTTTGTCCAACTCAAGCAAGGGAAACATCTTTCCACCTTTTCTTTCAATGTTAATTCAGCTCAGATTGTTGGGCGCAGCTGGGAATTGTCTGGAACCTTTCTCTCAATTTTGATGATATGCTACTACAGGCAAAGAACTCATATAGATCCACTCATTTTGTTGAAAAAATTCTCTATGCTGCATGGAACATTTGGAAGCAACGAAATGCTTTCATTTTTCAGAATGTACCACCTTCGATTGTTTTCTGGAAAGCTCTCTTTAAGATTGATATTTCTCTTTTAGTCTTTAGATTAAAAGTTTCTGAGAGACAAGCTTTATCTCAGTGGATAAACCTTTTGTAAATATTTTGTATTCTTCTTTTAATTTAATTTATTAACTGTGGGAGCTTCCCCTACAGTATTTCCCCTTAAAAAAAGTACTAATAGCCATTTTAGATTGTGCTAGTGCATCTACTAATCCTAGTAGCAGCGAGGCTGCTAATGTTGATGCATATTATCAAGAGTAACTCAAGCTATTGAGTTGTGATTTGTGTATTATTTATAGTCTTACACTTATTTATACACAACTTTGGAGGGTTTAATTCATTTATCAGAAAAACACCGTATCGACTTATCATATATTCGTATCCCCGTATCTAGGTACCATAGATGAGTAGGTCTATTCGTGCTACGCTCTACCTGCGGCTGGTTGCGGCCATGTAAGGCTATGGGGCCAGGAGATATTCGGCCTTACTTGGATACAGGAGTACTATGAATCTACAATATATGGGCTAATTTTTTTAATAATGAAATATAGTTAATGAAAACATCCTATCTCTACAATTCTGCATGGAGGATGCACATAGCCAACAACAAAAAAGCAAAAGAGAAAAAACAACCTGCTAGGCAAGATCATAACTGTCGGTTATACTTTCAGAACAACACCTTCGAGAAGTAACGGAGTGATTATGTACGGAGTATTTTTTTTTTGGCGAGATTTTATACGGTTAGATTGTTTTAGAATGCTGGAATTTCACAAAATGTTCACAGGGAATAGTTTAAGTTCTATAAAAATTTCTCCCATCCAAAGATCTTTGGAGAACTAGCTGGGTGTGGCCTGCACAATTACGAGGCTAGTATTCGTACAAAATTATCTTCTTTTACATTTTACATATATGTTTACTTAAAACTTGTTAAATAGCTATCTTGTTATTTTAGGATTTTAAAAGACTGAAACTGAAGCCTATAACAACATTAAAATGGAAAAACAAGAGTCTCAGGGACCCAGAAAAAGGATTTTTTTTGACCCCGGAGGATTTGGAGAAATGCACCCAACCATGAAGAATGGATTTTTTTTTTCTTATCTTTCATGTGAACGGCAACACAGCCTACGCTTGCTGCTTGCTGGTTTTTCCATCATCCAATCCACAACAAATCGAATGAAACTGCTTCGGATTTCTTTTGATGAAAACTCTTGTTTTTTTTAGTTTGCTTTCAGCTGAACATGTTATAACTACAAATAAGGTGAGGCTTGATTAGGTGGCATGCTTGATATGCTGGCGCATAACCCCCATTTCTTGATCCAGATTCACAACCGAACTTATTTCTCATCCTCATCCCGACCTATCTATATGTGAAACTCCGCCCGAATTCTCGTAGTACAAAGAAAGATAGTACAGTACTCAAGTAAATGAATTCGTCTAAGGATAGATGGAAAGATCAAGGAACTTATCATTTGTATGTTTCTACTTTTATAGTTTTTAAAAGTAACACCAGTTGATATCTCCTACACATTTGTCACCCCTTTATTTATTTGCTCGATCTACTACGACTTCTATTCATTCTCCTTGGAACATTAAATTTAGACATTATAAATTTTAGAGTTAATTATCTCATAGGCTTTTATTTTTTTATAATTTTTAGAAATCCCGTCAAACGTCCCCACTCTACTCCTCTAAAGCCCATCTTCCGCCTCCTCTATTTGTTGTCATTGAGATTTTAAAAATCGAACATAATTATAGTTAGACTTTATTTTTAACTTTCTATAAGTCCCGCCAAACCATTAGCGGCATCGCCATTATATCCCTCTACAGTTCGTCCGATGCCTTTCCTTTTAATTGTCATTGAGATTTTAAAATTTGAACATAATTGTCGTTGTGATTTATTCTTTTTACTTTCTATAAGTTCCACCAACCACCGTGATTGTGCTGCTTAACGGGCTGCCCGTCATCTCTCCTCTTAATCATCATTAGGGGTTTTGTTTATAGTTTTTATGCTCGTTGCCTTCACCTTTTATTATCATTGATATTTTAAAAATCGAACGGGATTATCGTTGAGGTTTATTTTTTTCTTTCTAGAAGTCCCATCAACCACCGTGATTGTACTTCTTAACGGTATGTCCGTCGTCCATCCTCTTAATCATCATTTGGATTCTATTTGAGGTTTTGTTTATAGTTTTTAAATATCCCAATAACCAATGTCACCCTACTCCTTTATGGCCCTGTTGTTTCTACCCTCTTTATTGTCATTTGTCATCGTTGTGTTTTTAGATGGATTGTGTTTTGTGAAAATTCTATATTTTTATTCAGATATTATGCTATTTATAAATTGTGTTCCTACTTGAACTGTGGTAATTTCTAGTCTCTATAGTGAACGTGGTGTTTTCTTTTTAAGCTGTCTTAATAATATAATAAATAGATAGATAGATAACCGTCGAATATTCCCAGTGATGTCCTTCTCAATGATCCGATTTGCGGCGCCAACCAAGGAGCACATTGCATTATTTTGTTGGAACTACATCATAACCATTATTGGTCATCTTATACAATGACAAATGCTAATCAATTGTCAAGACCGGCAGCAGGATACGATCGTACTACAATGGAATCAATGATATATGGCCGGCGCAGGGTGGTCCGCTCCATGCGCGTACGGTTGCATTGCATATGCCCCGTCACTCTCGGTCCCAATCCACGGCTGCTCTCACTCGAGGTGATCGTGTGGCCTGAGCGACATGAACATGGCCGCGTAATGGCGGAGCCGGCGGTCCCCGTCGTCGGGCCCGCCGGCGGACGGCGGCTGCGCCGCCGACGCCAGGTCGGTCGTCGTCCTTGCCTTGTACCGGCGCCACGCGAGCTGGATGTTGACGGCCGCCCACGTCCGCCAGTTGGAGGAGTAGTAGCGCGCCGTCCGCTTGAGCTTCTCGTTGGCGAACTTGTACCGGAACTGCTCCGTGATGAAGCGAAGGTCGGGGGCGTCGAGGCAGAACGCCTGCGCCGTCTCGACGCACTCGAACGTCGCCGACGACGCCGGCAGCCGGTCCAGGGACGGCCGCCGGAGGCACCACGACAGCAGCTCGTCGCCGAGGAAGTTGCCGGCGCCGAGCATACACGTCGCCACCACGCCCTTGGCCAGCGGCTGCGTGCTCCGGAGCTTCCCCTGGAGGACGAACACCATCCGCTGCACCGGGTCGCCCTCCCGGATCACCTTCTCGCCGCTGGAGAACACCAGCGGCCTCAGCCTGTCGCAGATGTTGTCCAGGATGAGATCGTCCATGCCATGGAACAGAGGAACCTGAAAAATGAAAATTGACGAACTTTTACATTACAAAATGGTTGTCGCTAGCTTGTAAGTTGTAACTCAAATTTGACCAGGTTGTGTACCTGTTTAACTAGCTCGAGGCAGAGGTAGCGTTTGATGTCTCGCCTGAGCCCTTCAGGCAGGTCCTTGATCATCTCCATCTCCTCATCTCCCGTGATGGCCGCCCAGCGTTCACGCTCGTACTTCCGGACCCTCTGCCTCAGGCGGGACGGCAACTGCCTCCGCCGCATCCACCATTCCATGTCCCGGAACCGCAGCTGCATCTTTCGCTTTCTTGCTAAGACAGCATGCAAGAAGACCTGCAACATGAACCATCCAATCTTATTAAGAAAATTATTAGCTTAATACAAATGGAGCAGCACATAAAAATTAGGTAGTACTTTACCTGTATGTTTCCAATCAGCAATGTGAAGAGCATCAACCCGCTAAGTACATTGATTATGCTGAAAATCACCTCAAGCCAATTGCTTGTAGGCTCAAGATCATTACCAAAAGTACTGCCAAGATAAAACAAAATATATAGTAGAAAATATTAGTGTGGGGATCAGGGACTAGCTACTCAAATAGTAGAAAGATAACCTGAGCTATAGATATCTGGAAGTCAAACAATTTCTTCTAGGAAATTAACTCATTGATCAAAATTACCTGAGAGTCATGAGTCCCCAAAATATAGGGTAGAGTATTTTAACAGCAAGTGAATTGCTGGAAATAACAGGCAGAGCCCCTTTGTAGATTCCATAAGCAAAGGGCCCATTGCCGCTTAGACAGTCTGGAATGTTTTGTTGGCCAAAAGAAGTCAAGTTGCATGCCAGTCCATTCTTATCTGACCAAGGAAGGTGAAAACACATCTCCTTGGAGCAAGCAAGTGATGTTAGGTTGCAAGTGTTCTTTATCTTGCATTCCTCCTGGAGGCAGGAGGCGACACGCTGAATCGCAAGGACATACCAACATCCACCTGCGATCTGCAAGCAACAGAAAAAAATGATGAATGGCCAGCATCAGCAAGAGTACTCTAGTATTATATGCAGTTCAATCAACATTAATATCCTGCTGAATCAGGAAATTACAAGAAGCAAGATTAGGTAGGTCATTTCAAGATTGTTTCTTCAAATGAACTTTGTGGTCATTGCATAATCTAGTGCCCATCTTGGTCCCTGGACCATCAGCCTTCCATTATTCAACACTTTTCAGCAATAATATGACATATATTGTCTGGGACTGTTTCACTGTTTAATAGATATCATCCTGAATAGGAACAGTTCATCTATGTACTTAATATTTAAATGCGATGCACATCAGAAATAATTTGGCACTTCCCCTTGAAATTAGGCAGCACTATTTGCAGATATCCACACCAACACTTGATTTCGTTGGAAAATACTAGTAAATTCAATTATTCAAAACATCATGGACATACTAACAACCAGATATTGGTCTTTCGAAAGTACTAACAACAAGATGATTGGCATTTCAATTGCACTAAGCGAGACTAGAAGGAAGACTCAATGATTCTATGTCTATTATTTATTAGATCTTCCAAATAACTATTTGAAGGAGGGAATACTCACGTGAGAAGCAATGAAATAGGCGAAAAGATTAAGCCCGAATCCCCACCATATCGTTCCAAAGATGTAACCAGTCACCTTCTGCATTTTCCTCATGATATAAATACTGTGGTACACCTTGGGGAGAAATTGCAGCAAGAATAAGAGCAGCAGCATTGTCATGATAAGTTTGATTTGCTCTTCTCTGATTAACTTCGGTATGACTAGCCAGAAGATGACCTGTAGATTTTGATCGATCAGCTTGTTGAGCAACAAGAAGTATTTAAAGTAATGGACTTTAGAATTATTATAGTTCGAATGCTCTTAGTACCTAATATATGTTTGCTATATTTCACCACTAAGCACCCTAAAACACCAGATGCTAATATGTCCTGATGATTTACTTCTTTTAATACATCACAAACATAATGGATGAATTGTCTCTTTCTATTTTTAATGATATTTTTCAAGCACTAGTGTTTCTTATTAGCAAATTTTCTAACAATAAATTATCCAGGATTTTTTTTATCGCAATGCCACTGTCATGACCTATTTGCATACATTGGAAAACATTAGAGAAACAATTGTGGAATACAAATATGACCTTAATTCATGTCAGACGAATATGCCTTATTCTAACTGTCTAACATACTGCTGTGACTGAGCTCTCAACGTACTAGGCATATTGAATATTATTCAGCAGACACTTTTAACAATAATTCATCTTCGTTATTCATGACAATGGACAAATCAACTCATTAATAATCCACACATGATATGAAAAGGACACATGTAGCACTAAGTGCATGCATACATCCAATGCTGGCACGTAAAAGCAAAAAATATTTGCAATCATGCAAAACGAGAACCAACATGTGCTCCAAGTTATGAGGAAAAATAAAGCTCCACCTAAAAAATGACCAAACCTCTGTTAAAAAAATGACCACGCCATTTGAAAGACAGGCTGACAGATAATCAACAAAAATCATTTCCATTGGCATGTCTAGAAATTAGCCAAATCTCCCACATAAAAGGAGACTTTCTACGATGCTTGGCATATATTAGAGCCGTTGATGGCTCTTAATCTAACGAACTAAGATGGAAGGTACTGGTGCAAAGGTACTTAAGAGTGTGGGCCAGGTATAAAAGCTAGGAGGATATAATGGTAATTGGCTTTTATCATCACTTTGAATCATCGCTATTCCAGTACATATTCCAGGGTTTGTTAATTATTTCTGCGTTGTTATGATCACCTTATTGTAGCGCATGATTTTACTAGGGTATTTAAAATCATTTCGATCGGAGGTGAAAGAAAAGAGACGAGCTGGGTTAGGACGTAAAACTGAGTTATTTACTTCCATCATAGTTACCGATGATGCGGAAGGAAGATGGATTAAAAATTCTCTACCTCTCGCTCGCATACGTATGGATTACAGGAGGGGAATCATTACACAGAATCAAATTTTAGATTAGATGGGAATATTAGTTTTAGATTAGTGGCAGTAGTCCGTACGTATATGTATGTAGACGGCAAAATTGATAAATAAGGTGCCCAAACAATGAGCTAGAGATGAGAATTACGAGCAGCAGATCATGGCTAGCAGAGGAGTTAGATGTAGGATAGCGGTAAAATAGGATCGAGTTGAGTAGTTAGTTAGGGATGGTTTGGCTTAAACAATTACTAAACTGACCTTGTTTACATTATTTTTTCCTAAATTACCCCTCAAAAAATAAACGGTGGATGTGAAGAATGTTGGGAGGTACCGGTCATACCTCCCAAGTACCGTAAAAGGTCTCAAATAAAAGACAGCCACACAAAGAGGTATCAGCGGCGAGGTGAAAGGAGAATATCTGTTGTGCTGCAGGACAAAACACAACATTTTTACACCCTAGTCTATATAAATCTTGTCTTCTTGCAATCACTTGCAATCAGGTGGATCACCTGAGAACTTCAATCATACAAATAAGCTACCGTACAATAAGCTACTCAGTCGTATGAACCATCAAATGTTTGAAACAGTCACTTTCCTTGGTTTTTTTTCTTTTATAAATGAACTCATTTTTCTTTCACGCTGCACCAGTGGTCGTATTTCAAACACTACTATTACTGCCTCTGCCAATCATTGGTGCTACAACTTCATCCATTCGTACTTCTTCCGTAAGCTCATTGAACTCTAATCATCAACTACCGAGTTTCGGCCAGAATTGTAGCTAACTCATCCATCATTGTGGTCAGGGTAATTCCAATAAGCCGGAGCCTCACTTGCTGTCACTACGTACTGACATTGTCACATTCAACGAACAAGTAGCGAGGTGGTGTAGAAACTTTGCAGGTTTACACATGGGCTCTCTCACTAGCTATTGGCACACTGCCTGTACCTGCAATGTACTTTCTGATGCAGTGTGTACCCTACAGTTTTCCTACTGTAATATGTTCGACAAGGAAGTTGTGATGTGTCTCAGAAACGGACATAACGAACGCCCAATAATTGTGAGCGTTTGATCACTCATCTAATCCTCTACATGGTTAGATGGTGATATGGACGAATCATGTCGTTCTAGGTGTTCTGGATCGTTGATTGATTGATTCCCATGGTAAAAATGGAGAAAAAAATGGGGGGTGAAATGAAAATGGTGAAGGGAGATGGAAGGGAACCGACCTGTGGGATGGGCAGGATGACGAAGAGATCGAACCAGAGGCCCTTGAGGGAGCGGGCGTAGTGAGCGGCGATGGCGCGGGGGTCCCAGACGAGCTTGCCGCAGCCGACGACGAGGGACTCGCGGGAGACGTAGGCGACGCGGAACTGGAGGAGGACGTGGGCGAGGTGCGCCAGGTCGGCGGCGGTGCGGAGCGCCGTGACGGCGGCGGCGAGGCCGGCGTCCATGTACACGCACGGCTGCCCGGCGCGGCCGATGGAGAGCGCGTAGAAGAAGAGCGGGTCCACCGCCAGCGCGGCGGCGCGGGCCAGCAGGATCCACCGGTTCCACCGCTGCACGCGCTTGCTCCGCGGGTCGAGCACCGGGCCGAACACCCACCGCGCCGCCGCCGCCGCCGCGTGGTGCGCCGCCGACGGCTGCGCCTGGACCGGCACTAGCGACGAGCCCGCGTCCGCGTCCCAGTCCGGCGAGTGCACCTGGTCGCACGTCGTGGAGTGGAACGACGGCACCCCGGGCTGCGTGCACGCGTAGCACTCGCCGGGAGGCCCCGCCACCGCCGCCGCCGCCGCCGGACGGCTCGACCCTCCGGCCAGACCAGCCTCCTCGTCCCGGCCTTCATCATCCCCCAATCCAAGCCTCCTCTTCACCCCATCACACACATCCGCGAGCGACCTACTCACATCGAACCAAAAACCGTACACGATCAATCACAAAATCTACGGAATCCGCCATTGCCAAAGCGCAACAACTCCACGCGGCGAGATCGAGAGGAGGCCTCACCTCCCGGAGAGGAAGCGGAGGAAGGAGAGGGAAGGCATGGCCCATGAACGGTGGAGGAAACCATGAAAGGGGCCTCCCGGAGCTCGAAGCGTATAGAGAGAGAGGAGGCGGAGGCGGAGGCGGAGCTGGAGCTCTGCCTCGTGCTCGTGCCTGCGTACGGGCAGGCGGCAGCGGCGGCGTGAGTCCTCCGAATGATGAGATAGAGCGGAGAGGGTGACGTGGAGGGAGAGCTGGAGACGGTACAACTGTACTGGGTCCCACCTGCGTGTCCACGTGGGCCGTACGTGGACGCACCGCCACCATGCACCTACCGCGGCTGCACCGCGTCTACCCACCGTCTCAAACACCGCCATATAACTCTCTTATTCATTGTATGTGCAGCTATAAGTTTCTGTCTCCAATTTTGATCGTCAAATATTTTTATTGTTAGTATTTTTATTGTTATTAGATAATAAAACATAAAAAAATAAGACGTACGATTAAAGTTGAACATAAAAACTCATGGTTACACTTAAAATGGGATGGAGGGAGTAACTACTACTCATTTAGGGGGTAACTACTACCCGTTTAGAATATACAGAAAAATTTTAGAGTGAAACATAATTATTAAAAAGTGAGAAAATTAGAAATGTTGTGATTGGATGAGAAGTAAATATACGTGAGGAAATTAAATGGTGAACGATTATGATTGGTTAAAAAATAAAATGTTAGTCAAGAAGTTTATATTTTGGGATAAATTATAAAGGCTGAAGAGTAGTACGGAGGAAGTAGTACATTAGAACTTTTTTTACGATTACATGAAAAACATATACATTTGTGCACACCACGTACGGGTTAATAACACAATCATATACCTGTGAATGTATATCCCTTAACACACTTAAAAAATAGAGCCTAACAAATTATATGTGGAAAATGTATATGTGTGCACACACTGCATACATGTGAATGTATATATATCCTTTAACACACTTAAAAAGATAGTCTAGCAGCACATGCCTTGACCTTATCAAATTTGAATGGAGATATATAGTGTATATAATAATATTTATTACGGTACTGAAATTTCAACATGATACTTTCCATACAGTGGCAGATCTATTGTAGGGGCGACGAGATCTCGAGCTCTTATAGGAGCCTCTATTAAACCTTTACTAAAATTTTATATAATACATCTATTAGAAGAGAAAGCAGTATTGGTTTTTTTTCTCTCTCTCATTTTTTACCTCACATTTTCTTTTAGTTTTGGCAGGTATCGAGTCACTCTCTAGTCTCCACTCTCCACTGGTGTTTTCTGGAGAGAGATAAGTACGTATACGTATTTTGGATGTGGCCGTATACGCAGTGGAAGAGCCATCTCATCTACTCTTTTTCGTCCCGTTTCGACGCGAGAGGCTGGTGCTGACCGACGTCGCGGTCTCATGGACCTCGTGGAGAGCGGCGGCCTTGGAAGCCTCTGACGAGGTGGTCCGGTTCGTGGACCCAGTCCATGGGGATACTGGTGGGCCTAACGTTTGAGCCCATGACGTGTTTCGCACACCTGGTACTCTGAGTGGGCCGGTGGGCCCGGCTAGGGGAAGGTTGTCTGGGCCAAAAGCAGCAGTAGGGTGGGCGTAGCTGGACATATGGCCTTCAATTTGTGCTGCAATTCGGCACAGGGCCATGTGTTTTTGTACCTAAGATTTCAGTAATACCTGCGCAAACAGGCCTGACATTTTCTTAAGTAGGGGTGAAAACGGTTCAGAATTTTTCCGGATTCCGGACCTGTTTTCAGAAACGGAATCAGCCGGTCGGAATTTCTCGGAAACGGAATCGAAAACGGAAATATTTTTTCGGAAACGGAATCGAATATGATAATAACAGTTTCCATCGGAACTCGGAATCGGTCAGAAAAATTCCGGAAAGTTTGTCGGAATTTCCGAAGTTAAAAAGGCCCATCCAAATAGTCCATAATTCCTCCCCAAGTTCCCAGCCCAACCCAAGTCCCTAACTGGCTAACCCTAGAGAGGAGAGAGAGAGAGATCGAGAGAGGCGGCGGCGGAGCGGCGCATCCAGGGGTCGAGCGCGCCACCGCTGGCCGCCGTCCACGGCTAGTCGGCTCCTCGCGACCTCGCCCCCGCTGTCTCGCCGCCCTTCTTCTCTTGCTCCGTCCTCGCCCCCACCATTTTCACCACCGCCGCCACCACAGACGCCGCCGCCGACGCGGACGACGTCGGCCACTGGCCACACCGTCGATGCCGGCCACCCACTAAATCGCGAAAAAAAAAAATTCCAAAAAGAATTCAAAAAAAGAAACCCTAGCCATTGCCCGAGCTCGCCGGCCGCTCTTGCCGCCACCTGCCCCCGCCTCCTCGTCGTCGTTGGCGGCGGAGGTGAGGAGGAGATGGCGGTGGCGCCGCCGCCCAAGGTCGCCGCTACTCTTCGCCCGATGTCGCCCTCGGATTCGGGCGGGACGAGGCCCGCCGCCGCCGGATCCGGGCGGGACGAGAACCGTCGCCGTCGGATCTGGCCCGTCGCCTCCTCGTCGTCGTCGGCGGCGGCGGTGAGGAGGAGATGGCGGTGGTGCCGCCGCCCGAGGTCGCCGCCCACTCTTCGACCGAGGTCACTGCCCCCGCCGCCAGCTCCCGCCACCACCGCCCTAGGAGGAGTGGAGAGGAGAGAAAGAGAGTTATGGAAAGAAAGAGAGTGAGGGGAGAGGATAGAAAGAGAGAGTGGAGGTAAAAATATCAGGATAGGGAGAGAGAAGAGGAGATGAAAAAATTTAAAGGGAGGAGGAGGGAAAAACAATTAATTTCAAAATATTAAAACTTTGAATCAAATTTTATGATATTAAATGAACTCGTGTGAAAAAGTTGTTAAAAATAAAGTTGTAGAACTAGTTAAGATCTACCAATTTTCTTTTGGTCATTTCTCCATCCGAGTTTGATTGGATTATATAAAGTTTGAATTTTAAAATATAAGAAATTTAAATAATTTTTCGGGTAGTAAATGATTTCAAATGGGAAAGTTGTCAACAACAAAATTGTATAACTCATCAAGATCTACAACTTTCGTATTGGTCATTTTTCTATATGACTTTGTTTAAACAGTTTGAATTCGAATTTCAAATTATGATAACTTCAAACAACATTTTCAAGTACTAAATGATTTTAACTGAAAAAGTCATCAATTACAAAGTGGTATAACTCATCAATATCTATAACTTTTGTTTGGGTCATTTCTTCATCCGATAAAGTGATTTATAAGATTTTTCACAAAATATATATATCTCTTATATAGTTTATAAACTATAGGAGATATATGTAAATTTTGTGAACAATGATACTATCACTTTATCGGATGAAGAAATGGCCAAAATAAAATTTATATATATTGATGAGTTATACAACTTTATTGTTGATGAATTTTTCAGTTGAAATCATTTAGTAGTTGAAAATATTGTCCGAAGTTGTCATTATTTGAAATTCAAAATCAAATTATAGAAACAAAGTCATATAGCAAAATGATTAAAACAAAAGTTGTAGATATTGATGAGTTATACAACTTTGTTGTTGATGAATTTTTCATTTGAAATCATTTAGTATTTGAAAATGTTGTTTGAAGTTGTCATAATTTGAAATTCAAATTCAAATTATTGAAACAAAGTCATACAACAAAATGACCAAAACAAAAGTTGTTGATATTGATAAGTTATATAACTTTGTTACTGACAATTTTTTCATTTGAAATCATTTACTACCCTAAAAAATATTTGAATTGAGAGGAAGGAGGCATTATAGACTTCTCGGCGAGGGAGGAGCAAAAGGGCTAGGCCGGCGGCCCGAAGAGGGAGGAGGGGAAGGGGAAGCTGGCCCGTGGAGGGAGAGAGAGGCTGCGGGCTGCGGGCTAATAGTGTATACTTTATACCTTATACCATGGTATTTTGCTGTAATTTTTTTAGAATATTTGTTATGCAAATTATATGAAGTTATAGAAGAATATATTTTGCTGTTGAGACTTAACAATTAGACTTCGTATAATTGTGTTTTATGATGAATTGTAGACTGTTAAGACTTGAGAATTGAACTTGACAAAAGTTTGAAGCTCAGTTTGAGGGGTTTTTGTATTTCGATAAATTTTCGTTACCGTATCCGCGCCGGTTCGTTTTCGCTCCGTTTTCGGTTTCGATAATATTCGTTTCCGTTTTCGTTTCCGGGGTTTCCGATTCCGAAAAAAAAATATGAAAACGAAAACGATAAAGGTTGTTTCTGTCCGTTTCCGTACCGTTTCACCCCTATTCTTAAGGTACCCCTATAAGAAGAAACAAAATGTTACTAGAAAAGGCATAACAAAATACAAAATAGGTTCCCCGCAAAAAAAAAACAAAATACAAAAGAGGTTTATGATCGAGCAATCATCTCATACTACAAAGCAACCATTCGAGATTTTGTCCATTCCTAACCAAAGCATTAAGGCATTAAAGCATTTATGAGGAGGTTTCTTCACCTGAATGTCCCTTGCTTATCGAAGACAGAGACAGAGGCAGTGAGTCATAAAGCGACCAGTTCAGTTCCAACACGAAATCAACTACAAACCGTCCATTTCCAAGCAAGTAATTGTCATGAGAAACAGATCAAAATCACATCATCCATGAGGCGCCTCCGCTGTCAGGAACCCAAAGATGGTCCCGCTCGCCGATGGAACAAGACACGACACGGCCCCGCGCACCTCTGCTGGGCTGTGCAGTGGTGCCTGTACAAGGGTGGCCGTGCGTTGCGGTTCACTACACGTCAGGCAAGCGGCAACAAAACAAAACAGGTCCCATGATTCTTTTTCTTTCCTGCAAACTAGCATAGCAAACCCTGAAAAAGAGTTATGTTTTGTGTGATTATTCCCATGGAGTCTAATTTTGTTGATTTTAGCCCCTCAGTTATTTGGTTTTGTAACTTTCATTCATCGCAGAGCTCGTGTGAAATCTCGGATCAATCAAATCGAACTCCAAGGTTTATATTGTCACTTACTACGGTATGAATAAAAATCAAATCTACAAGTATAATTGCGCAAATTCCTCATACTCTTAAAATTGTTAACCAAAAATATCTTATTCCACTATCTATAGTATAGTTCCATTTGAATTGTTAGCTAAAATCTACATGGTTCAACGCTAATAAGTGAGAGTTGAGTAGTTGTTTTATCACCTTAGATCTTATTATTATTTCTTAACAAAGTTATGACTATGTAACTTATAACAGAAACCGGAGATATAAATCATTCATTTTCATTATCTAAAAATGATATAAATTGTAGGAGTTACATTGCAATTATGCTAGTATGTTTTCTTCTTCTTTACCCTTGCCCTTCCTGTCACGTGAATGAGCAGCATCGCCTTGCATTGC